TGTATTTGTAGTTCTTATAAATTTGTTTAATTTTTATCAACTGCAAAATAAATTGTTTAATAAAACATGACTCCATTAGAATTAAAAAAAAAAAAAAAAAAAAAAAAAAAAAAATGTAATCAAAAATAAGAAATTCACTGAGTTACCTAACTGTATAGAATGAAATAAAAAGATTTTTTCCACCCCAATAAAGCATTCACAACGCTAGTCTGCGGGCATGTTTTCTATAGAATTTGTATCGAGAAGAAACTCCTACTTACAAAACCAAATGGGTGTCCCTTTCCCAACTGTGGAACAAGCGTCGAGACTATTACTGGAGTCACCACAACTGAAATGGATCTTAGGCACGATTCTCAATTCAGCACTTCATCAATAGTTGGGAAGATGGGGAGACAACTTACTATCCAATCTCAGGAAATTATTGATGAGGAGATGCCGGATGTTGATAATGGGGAGAATAAAGATAAAGATAATTCGAAGGGAATAGGTGCTGATATAGCTGAGGGAGCTCAAAAAAAGACCTATTGAAGTTACTAGTGAAGAGCTGAATACAACGAAAGATAAATCCCCCAGTAAGAAAGTGAAGAAGGAAATTAAAAACGAGGATTCCCAGATGCTGAAATGACTTATCAAGGAGTTAAGTAGTAATAGTAGTTCGCAGGTATTTGAAATTACTGTAGAAGAGGGTGAGAATTCTGAAAATTTGCTTCACTTATACAATAAAATTATTAATGCTGAGATTCGTAAAGAGATTGCAAGTCAAGAAGTTGTAAAATCTTATTATTCATTTGGAAAAGTTCTCTCGTAACGTTTCAAGTACCACTTCGATAAATCTTTAAACATACATCAAGCTCAAATGGATGTTAATGATGAACTCGAAAAATAACTTCCCGACACTACTGAAACTACCCGTAATAAAAGAAAAAAAAGAGCTCAAAAAATATACTTTCTCTTTAATAGTATTGGTATTGAAAAAATAAGTTTAGTTAAATCTTTTTCCGCGAATGCTATCTTGAAGTTAAGTGTAGAGAAAATCAAATATGTAAAAGACGAAATAATGAAGACTGCACCACAGATCACATGACCCTGACCGTTGGGTCAAGATCACGTGACATACATATATATCAGAGTTTCGTTATTAGAAAATAACGTATTGCAATTTATAAAAAATCATAATAAAGTATCAATTATTTTTTTTGCCATTAATGTAACACATCGGGTTGGTGAAGTGTAGACTCTTTGAACCATTGCTTTGCAATAAATTGTATATAATGTTATGCATCTTCATTGTTAAAAAATAAATACATGTCAGAGTCCCAAGGGAGCAACCCATATGATCGCGGGAAAATACTTTATGCTTGTTATATATGTATTGTCGAAGTCAACTTATGCTTTTATACTTACTATGTGAATTGAATTCTGATATTTATTTATATAGCAATAGAGACGATAAGCTTTTTCACCACAATATTCACCACTTCCTCAAATACCCTTTATATGATTTCTTATATTTTCTTTTTTATGGTTTTTATTACATAAAAGGTAGGGTACTGATCTATTAAATTCAAAGTAATCATCTTTAAAGCTATGTTTTAGAGTTAAATCGGGAAATCAGTCTAATACCATATTAATAGCATGTTATTGCCTTTCTTCCAGGTCTTTAGGTAGAACAGAAATTTGGGATTGTCATTTAGATGGTATAGATTGAACATTTATCCACAGTACAAATAAAATCTTTTTCTCAAAAGATTCAGAGAGTTTGGAATCCATCCAAGGATCGAGACCAGTCTCTTCTGTATACTATACGTGTTGCCCAAATCCCAAATCATTTGGAATTTGGGATTTGGGATTTTGGCAAAAAATACTAATCATAATTTGGGATTTGGGATTTGGGATTTTGGCATTTGGGATTTCGGCATTTGGATTTTGAATTTGGGTAGCAGGTATACTGTATACACCCTATATAAGCTCAAACGAATTTTATCTGTCAATTGACTTGGTGAATCAACCAATTTAGCATGCCAGTTCAAATATTCGGGGGTTAGAGCTTTATCCATGTTATTGTATTATATGATCGCAAATTCAAATTAAGTATGAATACACTCTGTACATATCCCGAAATAGTAATTAAAAAAAATATATAGTTAATTGATTTACAATCATTTGAAACCAGAGAATTTTGAAGGCAGTATGACTTTATTATTTATATTGTTATCTCGATTTCACACTTTCCACATATAATAAAATAGTATCCAGCTTCGTATCTACCTTTTACACTTTTTCCATCTTCATGATTTAATTTACATACTGAGCATAATGATCCCTCGATAATATCAGTAATCAAATTTTTCAGTAATAAATGTTTTATATAGATCAGAATATCGCAACAATATCTTATTACGAAAATAAGCATGGTCATGAATTGGATTATTCTGTTTTTCAGATAAAGTCTTTGTTTCAGTTTGAGGTTGAGATACAGATAATGCATTTATCTCGGTTTCTAATAAAGCCTTTTTGGGATGAGATACAAGTGGTATACTTACCTTGGCTTCCGATAAGTTCTTTGTTTTCATAGAAGAGTTAGAGATTAGAGGTTTGATAGATGTACTTACCTCAGGCAAAATTTCGGTTACATGATTTTGGTGACGGGCTGTCATTGAAATTTCAGTCATGTGATTTTCTATATTAGACTCATTATTAGAAATATTATCAATAATCTTTTGAATTTGTTCGTTAGTCAATTCTGAGATAGAATTTGTGCTGTATGCTTTAAGGTACTAAATTTTATCTATACCTATTTTTTCAAATAATTTATAAGTCCTTATAGCTTTTTAAGTCTTTTTGCATAAAGTTTTATGCGAAATTTCTGGGAGCTGTAATGTCATTTCCTTGGACCTTCTTTCACGGATGATATTAAGGTGTTCCAATATTTTATCATAAATTATACCTTTAGCTTTTTTCTCGCCAATTTTTCCATTGCTATTTTTTATAAGATCATTATACTGAAATACGAATTCTTTCTCATAACTAATTCAGCATAAGGTCTCTTCTTGGTTGGCTTTCATAGCATAATGTTCAGCATCAGTTGCTTTATCAAATAATTGTGCCAAGTCAAGTAATGAGATTGTATCAGAGTTTTGACAACGGGCTGTTGCTGAAATTTCAATCACAAGATTTGGATCTGAAAGAATATTATCCTGAATGTCATCAGCTATCACCTGAACGATATTCTCTGTTCCCTTTTTCTTGTGCAATTGGGATGTTTTGTCCTGGCTTTTATTTTGATTCTGATCCCAAAACTTTTTCACAGTTTTTGAATCCAGAGATTCAGGTGTCGATATGATTGATTGCATTGGTGGAGTTAAGTTATTATGTGATTTTTGAAGTTTTTTTTCTGGTTCTTCTCTCTAATCCTTTCCTTATGTATTGCTTCTACAAAATCTAGGATCTCAGCTGAATCGTCATTGATAATATCTTGTGGTAAAGAGGTTGTGGATGTTTCAGGCTCCAATTGGGTTGAGCTATGTTCTATTTCAGGAGTAATACCTTTCTCCTCATCAGAATGGCTCTCAATAAGTGGTGAAATATCTTTTGTAGACTGTTTATTAATAACCTGCGTCTGTTTCTGTTCCAATTTCGTGATTCTATCTTTAAGCTCAGTATTTTCTTCTGCAATCTGTTCCAATTTGGCCCAATTTGGCAATCCTGGCTTTGAGCTCAGCATTTTCAGCTTCGCGTTTGGTGCTCTCTTCCATAACCTGTTTTAAAAGCTTAGTATTCTTGACCTCAAGCTCGGCCTTTTCGGCTTCAAGCTCAGAAATTCGTTGCCTTAATGAATCAATCTCAGATTGCATGTTTTAGTAATAGATTGTATATCTTATTATTTGTTTTAAATGTGTAACTAAAGTAGCAAAAATTTGAGTGACGGCCCGTCGTAAAAAAAATCAAATGAATAAAATCGCTTAACTTGAGATAAGCAAACTTTGCATTAGCGATACGTAATAACTATGGTTGAATTATAATAAATTTTATTTCCCGAGTAGCGATATCCCAACAAATTAAATTTTAACTGTTCTTAGGTAAACTTGAATCGAATTGGTTTTATTATATTAATAGTTTCACAGAAGTGTATGCAATCGATCATGTCCGATTTTTTAATCAATTAGAAACATGATTTGGGTGAAATGCAGACTTTATTTCTTCAATGCGACACATTTATAAAACCCAATTCAGGGAAACCTTTATTTGTTAAATTATATAATTGCTATGATATTACATGACACATTGATAAAAATCATTCACAGACCGAAGATTATTACTACATAAACCAACACGCAAGAAATATCTTAATTGTACTACTCAATCGCTTAATTTTGAATAAAGATGGGAATATTATTCATTAACAATTATATATGGCTGTCATCGGGTTCTAGGTAATCTGAAAAAGAATAGTATATCTCAATCAGTAATGTTAAGTTAAATACAATATTTCAATGAATTTATCACAGACCTTTTGTTTTCGGAACCTTTGGTTTTTGGAAAGATCTGTACTCCTCCTGTCTAGCAGGTATTGCTACTTTTCCAGGTGCAAATTTCTCTCTTTCAGCTCTGCTTTTCATTTGCTTAAACTGAGAAATAGTAACTGATAATAATTTCTGCAAGAACAAATCAAGTAAGTGCAAAATAAGATTTAAGAAATTACAAAGATTGTTTAAATGTCACTTTACCTTGATTTGGAGCAAAGTCTGTGATATTTTAATGATAAACTCGAGTTCTTGATATTTCGTTGGAATATGGATGCATAAAATCCACCTCCAATGTAGATAATAAGTATTGCGCAAATAAAAAAAGTGTGACGAAAGAAATCCGGGTATCAATAATTTGGTTCCCACTTGAAGAACCAGTTTTGACAGTGTCCCGCTTCCCTCAGCAGATATCACCTCAATTAAAGTTCAGTGCATATCTTTTAAGGTTTTTTGTACCTTAAGAGTATTTGAGAGGATTTTGAGCATGTTTTCCATTTTTGAACCAGTGTGTTCACAAAGAGAAAATTCCCTACCCCAACATAATTCCCTACCAAGATCATGCCTCTGTAAATAATTAAATTTAGTAAATACATTAATAGTTTATAATGAAGGCTATTAAAGATTTATCATACCCGTGAACATCCAATCCAAATGATAACCCTCAGCATTACTTGGTGTATCCATCACCTCTGCCTGACGATTTCTAGATGCTCTTGATACCGCCTAAGAAAAAGTGTAAGCATTATTACCAATAATAAAAATTTTAAAAAATATCAATAAAACTTACAAATGGCTGTCTAAAATCATATCAAAACAAGCGAATATATGTCTCTTTATGAAGATGTCAATATCTCGTTCGGAATTAGGTTGTTGAATAATTCCTTTTGCGATAATTTCACATCTGGGCAAAATTATATGACATAAAGCTTATTAAATTGCAGGTGTAATTTATTACTAAATTATTGAACTTACGTATATCGGATTAAATCAAAAATAAAAGCAACATCTGGATTTGTATGATCTTCAAGAGTTAATGATAAAATCTCCATTATCCTTTTTATTGAAATCATTTTCGTCTTCAAACAGATTGTCCAATTCTGAAGCATTTTGTTCCTTTTTATTTTCCAATAATTCTTGAAGTTTAAGAATTGCTCCGTACGTTCCTTTTGGTCTAACCACTTCACCAATAATGCAAAGTTGATCATTGTCGAGCTGGGAATCAATGCATGCGTTAATAAGAATTAAAATACATAAGTCATGATCTGTGAATAATCAGTACTATTTACATATAAAAAGTGGAGCAAATTTATATATATTTTTATTATATAGTTTTATTGAATAACTTATCCCCAAATTTTATTATAAAATAAGTGCCGATCTTAGATGAATCAACATTTGATTTTATCATTCACCTTTTTGAGAGATTGTAAGCATCTTTCTGCCTCAGGTTCTAATGTGGTCCAGTTTTCCAAAAGCGATGAAAACTTTGTATTCAGCTCCAACAACTCATCCTCTGACATAAGGGTCGTGATCATTGGATCAGATAAATCGATAATTCTCTACCAGATTGGATTAAAAAAAATATTAGAACCTAGAAACTACAAATAACAAACAAATCAATGTTTATAAAACACTTACTTTAATGATAACTCATATCAAGTTGTTTTATCACAATTAAAAGCATGAGAAATCAACGATTCTTGTTTCTGTACTACTCTGTCCATCCAACTTGGTTTCGGTGTATTAAATTCCCATTCGATTAAGGGTTCTTCAAAATTCAAGCCCTATACATACATCCACAAAAATTTACATAAGAATTCATTTTTCCTAAACATCGATGCAAATATAATCACCTCAATTAAATCCTCGAGTTCATCATCCATACGTTGACGTTTGTACACCCGATCTTCTTGATCTTCTACATTTAGCAATCTAGTAGTTTTCTCATATACAAAGTGCTCCTGTTCATTGACTCGTAATTGATCGATGAGCTGTTGATTTTTTTGCTGATCCTAAAAATTTTTTGGTAAGTAAGTTTGCTGGTCCATTGTAAAAGTTAGTCTCAAATTTTTATAAATCTTATCTTTAAAACAGTAGCGGTATAAGTTGATGTTACATTTATTCTTGCTTCTTCATGAAGTTCTAGATCCTTTATAAATTGCCTCACTTCGGCACTGTTGAATGTTGAATCAAAATTTGATAAAATTTTTGTCACCTTGTTTTTGGTATATATGTGAATATTAACTTTGTCTCTATAGCTCCGTAGTATTGCATGCAAATCTTCCTTGAAATCATCGATTGTGAACGCAGATAATCTGGGGTTCGAGCTCGATCGCACAAATTCTAAAATTCTGAGAACTATCCAATCTTCACTTTTCGTTTTATCAAAATATTCCGTAATAATGGATTCAAACATCTAAAAAAATTAATGCATTCATTAGTTGATTATCCGTTTTAATAAAAGGAACGTGGGAATGTTTACAGTCAACTGTATACTGGAAAACAGCCAGCTGGAGTGGGCCTTAAACACGTATGCTTAAGGGTTGTTCAGGAAACTGCCTCCAAACATCTGAACGCAGGAAAATGTTACCTAACGACAGTAGGTATAGTAAACGCATCCTGGAAAACAGCTGGCTGGAGCGTGCCTTAAACACGTATGCCTAAGGGTTGTCCAGGAAACTGCCTCCAAACATCTGAACGCAGGAAGATATGCCTAACGACAGTAGGGAGACGCGTGACTGCAAACCTTACCAGAGAGTTCAAAGAGCTACGAAAGTATTGAAGAAGATTAACCTTATTTTTTTACGTTATACTTGAAAGATCCTATTCTGTGGTAGTATACTTGTTCAGAAAAATTAATCTGTAAATAAGATTGTTGCATATCATTCACATTACAATGTTCGAAGAATGATTTACAAAATTTCGGCGTTGAAAATACCCGACTCCTGCACCACATTACTGCGCCCAGACACGCGTGTCCAGTTTTTCTGAAATTATCTTGTTTTATCATGCTTCTACATAATAAATAAATTATATATTTTCCATATTGAATTTGTAAAATATTGATCGTACCATGATGCATATGTAACCGAGCACAAAAAATAACACATGATGCATTGTACGTTTCTCTAACCGAAAATATTTATTGATAAATATACGATAAAAAATATATATAAAAAATTTGTTTCAAGAAAAATTTCTGGGACCTAATTCCAATTGTTCGTATCGGAAAATGTCAAGAAATAACACATGATACGTTGTACGTTCCTCTATACCTGCCACCCAAATTCAAAATCCAAATGCCGAAATCCCAAATGCCGAAATCCCAAATCCCAAATCCCAAATTATGATTAGTATTTTTTGCCAAAATCCCAAATCCCAAATCCCAAATACTAGTAATTTGGGATTTTGGCGTCCCAAATCCCAAATGATTTGGGATTTGGGCAACACGTATACGTTCCTCTAACCAAAAATCTTTATTAATAAAATATATATATGATAAATATACAGGATAAAAATATATGATAAAAATACATGATATCAATCAAAGATAGGCCACGTCAGAAATAAAAAAACTAATTGTCAGAATCAATAGTTGAGCTATATTCTACAAGTCTACCTGATTTGGGTAAAGATGCATTATGGAGTAAGGTCATATTGACGATTAAAATATTTCGTAATATTAGCAAGGTCTCTATAAATTTTGTAACAATGGAAGGAGGCAATTGTTGAATTGGTATTTCTGATTCATGGAGATGGTAATAACGATGTACCTCACTCATATCTCTAATAAGAATACTTAAATGTAATTTCTTTCTCATCACTTGTACACCAATAATACTGAATTCATCCTTATCAGGTTTACAACTCTTACAAGTCCAATACATACTATCATTAGTTTCACACTGTTACCCTTGGTTTTCTTCTGATTAAATAGTTATATTATTTTTCTTACTTTATTATTATATCTTATATTGTTAATATTATTTATTATTTATTTGTATTATTTAGTTATTTAGTTATATATAGTTATATTATTATTAGTATATTGTATTAGAGATGTTACACTAAGTAGATCAATCAATGTAGCGATCTGTTACACTGTCAAAGATATTGTCAAAATTAATGTCAAGATCAGTGTCAAGGTTACTGTCAAGAACATTGGCAGAAACACTGTCAAGAACACTGGCAGGAACACTGACAAAACTATTAGTTATATAAAGGGTGAGTTTTCCTTTCACCCAAAGGAAAGATTGAAGATTTAAATTTGAGAAGATCAAAATAACTAATAGTGTAAATTAGTTAAAATCTCTTATACTTGTAAATATCCTGAATCAATAGGATATTATATTTCATTTTTTTAATAAATTATTTTTGTATTACATTTACCGTAAATCTTTATTAGTCTATATTCTTTGAATATAAACTATTAAAGTATATAAACCTTATTCATCTTAAACTTTTCAGCACACTTTATCTGGTTATATTGAATCTTCAAATAATAAATTCAACGAGTACATTTAATTTAGTCCTTGAAATTATAATTTATCCTTCATACTTAAAATTAGTTTAATTATTCTTGATTAATAATTTAGTTATTTAACTTAAATCGCTTAAGTTTACTAGTTGTAAACCTCCTGTTGGAACCTTATTTCACTCAACAGGTTGACTAGTAACACCGTTCTACTGTTATTGCGTTTAGTCGTTTAATTATTTTGTTTGCGCTTTGTATTATATTGGATTTGATTTGTTGCCATTGAGTGTGTGTAAAATTTGTTATTACTATTGTTTTATTAGATAGTTCTTTAGTGAATTTATCCCAATTTTCTTTTTGAGCTGTGTTAAGATTGTATCTGTACTGAGTTTTTTGTTTATATATGTTTGAAGAAAGTGGTTTACGAAATGTATCAAGTAATATTGCTCTGGTGCAGTGGTGGTCTGTTGCAATCTCTTCTTCGCTGTCTATAATATCTGCATCAATTAATGTATCAGCTGTTTTGGGTGATAACCAAATTTGGTATATTCTTGATTTGAATTCGTTTCGAGTCCATGTAAATTGTAATGTGTTTGTCGTGTCCTCTGTATCTGTTTCTAGTTTAATGTTTTGTATTGTACGAAATGTGTCTATGTAGTTTTTGTTTGTAAGGTATTTGAGTAGGGAACTTTCTATTTTGTTTGATCTATATTTAGATGTTGCAGATATGTCTATAGTTGAATCATTTACACTGTTGAAATCTCCCAGAATTATGATTCTGTTAGTGTCAGTCGAATTAAACCTTTTCGTTATTGTCTTGATCCATTCCATCAGTCTTGTATGCAATACTAAGTTAGCTGGTCTACTTGCTGATGGGAAGTATATTGTTATGATTTTAACTTTAATTTTTCATTTAAATATCATGTTTAATGTTATTGCATGGTTTTCAAATGTTTGAATTGAAGTTACATGTTTGTTAAGTTATTTTTTTATCATAATTCCCACTCTATGGTTGTGTATTTCTGAACTTTTCGTCCAGTAGTATGTGAATTCTTTGTTATTGAGATTTTGGTTAAGATTATTTTTTAGTATGTGGAATTGGTTGTGTGGAGAATGTCAGATTTCTGTTAGGCTAGTATATCAAATTAGTAATTGTTTGTAAAATCTATTATTTGTTATTGAGTCATTATATTGTTTAAACCTTGTATGTTTAATGTTGCAATTTGTATAAATTTTTGAGAATCAAAGTTTTGTATTTCTGACAGTTCTGATCCCGATGTAAGAGAATTATCGTTTGTTTCTGAAAAGTTTGTGTTAGAATCTGATATATCAATTATGGAAGGGGTTGTATTGATTTGATTGTTGAATATGAATTCTTCTATTTCTTGATTCCATTTAATGGAGTTATTGACTTCATTTTTTTCTATTGAATTGTTTGTAATTCTGGAAAAAAGAGAGGTAAGAGAAAGGTCTTGATCAGAATCCCAAATATTATTGTCTTTATCATCATCATTGTTATAATTATGGTCCATTATTGAGGTTTGTGGTGGTGTATAGGTTGGGCCATAACTTCCTTTATTAGATTCTTTATATTTTCGTGATAATTTATTGGTGATATAATGATTTAATATCTTAATTTTATTTTTATTTTTTATTTTTATTAAGTAAATGACTGTGATCAGAATTTTGATTATTATTTGTTTTTTGTTTCTATATTGTATTATGCTTATAAAGCGAATTGGTTTTAGAAAAAACCATTATGTATTTATTTATATCTTGTTGGATACGAAAAAACTCTTTTGGAAGTTATGCAAAATTATAGTATCGGTGAAGTGTTTTGACAGTTTTGTTAATTTTTGTTTTATCTGTTATTGGGAGTATTACTGTTTGTTTTGTTTTGTTTGTTAAGTCAATAATTACTTTATCAACTGATGGGAGTTCATCTTGTGAAG